ATAGTCGAGACATCATATACTTTGTAAAAAATATTTTCAAACCTCATTACAGTCTCCTTCGTAGTCTATCCAGCTACTATTATCTTTTGAGTAAGATATTTTATACTCAGTTACCCACTGTGGCCAACTTTGTCTTCCTTGTGTGGCGACTCCAGTAATCATCTTAACGCTGCCAAGATCAATCTGTAGATATTCCCCTACAGACTTAGTGTTTGGTACCCATGCCCCTTCGCGGTCAGGTTCGGCAGAAGTACCATTTAGCCGCGCTCTTGATGGTAGATAAATGTCTGGGTGTCTTTCAGGGTTTATAAAGTACGATGATGCTGTTATCTGTGAGTCAGRAATATTTCCATTTGCCATCCCGAATGGAATATCACAACCTATTTGATAGAAAAGTGAGATAATTTTATGCCATGTCGAATTAAAAGCTACTTCGATCTTTTTGGACCTCATGTAGTCATTTCTTTTCCATTTATTCAACATATACAAACAAAAAGTCGAAATGCATTTACCGTCTGGAGCTGGGACTGGTATAAAGCAGTTCTTTGTCTCCATTCCTGGTCCAGTACAGTTGGCTCCATCATTCTGAGGGGCTGGGTTTGTGCAGGTTCTCTTACGTGTGTACGGACAGACTGATGGGTTACAGTTAGTCCAAGGACTCCATGACGTCCAACCTCCATCTACAGGTAACAAATAAAAATATCATGGGTGAAGTAACAAATTATTTAGCACRTTCAGCACTAGACTGACACCGACCTAGACTTATACAAACACACATATATATGTATTTGTACCTGCTTTACCCATGCTCTACTATTGTTCTATACCAAGTGCAAAAATTCATTTTTTATTGAAACCTCAAGAAAACAGTGTGTTTTATGCTCCTTTATCAGGGTAAAGATTTAATAAACTCTACTAAGATCTGATTTTGAGTCCAGAAATCGTCCCGAGGTGAGAGGTGAGTGCCCTATATCTGTGCTACTCATTATCATTCACTGAAACTCACCATCACAGCTGAATGTGTCCCATGAGAAGTCAGGTCTACACATCCTGTCAGCCGGACATGGGTTGGAAGAACAGGGACTCTGGAAATATGATACAGTATTGATGAGATTACATTCTCTCATTCTCTGTTTTCTTATATTTTCAAATTATACTTTAAAAGAGCGTAAACGTTTTTTTTTTTTTTTTTTTTTTTTTTTTTTTTTTTTTTTTTTTTTTTTTTTTTTTACCAAAAAAAAACAAAAACAAAAGCAAAACAAAACAAAACAAAACCAAAACAGACAAAATAAAACAGACATTCTAAACACAGTAGCACCCGTGGGCAAAGTTGTTACATAAATGGTGCTTAATTTTCCGGGTCAGAAATGGTGCAAACAATCCTTATTGTCGCATCCCCCTATTTTAAAAAATTAAAGAATCCGCCCCTTTGATGTTTCATGATGTTTTGCAACCTGTACTTATTCGAACCATCTGTAAAAAATCATATTAGGACGGTGATGTAGGATATTATTATAAAAATCTGCTTTTTAATTCCCAACCCCCGGTCAGCCATATTAGAAAGCCCTTTATCAAAGGCAGCCCAACATACAAATAACTAGACGCATATCTGCGTGAACTCGGGCTTCATAGCAGAAAATCGAAAGAATTTTTCGTGAACACTGTCATCCTTCTGACGAAACCTTGAAAAATTCCGCCATTGCTCGACCATGTGCTTATGTGGCGCATACTACGCAAGCGCATAAAACTTGCGCATGCGCTTCGAACGCAACTGCGATTTGTGACAGAACGCAAATAAAATCCAATTTATACCTCGGGCATTTCTTTGAAAGCCCGAGTAAAAAATGCGTCTGCAGAATTGATGATTGAAAAGGTTTTAAAATTAGTTTAATGTCAATCGTTAAAATAAGCTAAGGTKTTTTTTTTTCTCACCTTGATAGGACAGTATTGAAAACCATCTTTGGGTACCTCCTGGCCAGGTCGGGTCCAGTGATCARCCTCGTTCAACTCACATGTTCTTGATATTCCTTCTATAGGACCCAAGTTGTACGAAATACATTTGTTTTCGATAAAACATTGGTGCTGACATTCCTCTATTCCGGGAGCTAGAATTTTGAAGAACTTGATCACGTGATTGATGAAGGTGTAGTCTTGCCAACAGGGAAGAAATTCAAGTGCTCTACATCCACCATCACCTGTATGGGGGAAAATAGTCACACTTATTATCCGACTAGAACAAGCCGCGTAGCGACAGATCGTCTATGACATAACTAAGTTTGCAAAARTCCGAACTGGAGTTCAACGGACTGCTGGAAATTGGACTTCAAAATGGATATTTTCTAAGATCATGAAATTATCGCATGAGCGTTTTGTCCAAACAAAATGGATTTCACTGTACATTAGTAGCTCTATCTCTGTCTCTTGAGTCCTTATTGTCTAGAAAATTCTGCATAGAATAGTCGATTGACTGGGAGGAAGTATTTGCGTTCCAAGGTTGATACTTTCAGGAAAAGAAGTACAATAAACAAGCTTTCAGACCAAATAGTGAAAATAAAATATATACCAGGTGATGATTAGGGATCTAAAAATAGCTCAGGCTTGCGCGCGGAGCTAAAAATAGATTTTTTAAAAATAGATATGCTCTCTTACTTAATATTCTCTTGAGCTTAGTCATTCCCACAATAATAAACAAAAAATTGATCAGAATGCGCAACTCAAACTTTAATAAGCTTATATGACCCGTAGCACGTACAGGAAGACCTTCCAATGCAGTTCTTGAGCCTGTCAAGCTTACTTTTCGTTTATCTGCCTTGTCGTATATTAAGTGGCTCATTTTCCTCGTATTTTTCTCGGTCCATACCATTGGATATGGCTCCTATTATTTTCCTTTTCCCATAAAATTGCTCCACAAGAATGAGCCTGCAATAAAATWTTAAGCAAACTTCCAAATAAAAAATGGAATCCCAGAAATCTGGGGCATAAAAAATGAGTCTTAACAGGCGCAAGCCCATTGACCAAAAAACAGGAAGACTCTGCGCTCGAGATTGGATGAAGGTCAAGTTGGTCGCGTGTGACTGGGAATCGCAGTAAACAACGAAATATTTGAATAGCTGTTTCATACGTCAAAGTATCTTCGGCATCCAGAAATAATTTTTATAAGAAATATTTTACTATCAAAATCACAAGTCCTATACATGCACAGCGCCAATGTTAAGTTATTCTATTTTTGCCTTGTTTTGCTTTTGGTCGAATATATTCACAACGACCAATCAGCGCAGCGCGTGAAATTCATAGGAATATGGTTGATTATGAAGTAATGTGTAAAAATAGCTCACTCCCGACGAAACGAATACCAGATGGACACTTCTAGTTATTATATGGACTACAGCTTTTGCATCCTTTTCGCCTGAAAACAATTATTTATTTTCGAATGTGGTCTAGAATATTAGTTAGTTAACTGAGAACATACTATAATTGCAAAAAAGAGTATATCGACAGAAATAAATGGACTTTATGAAATAATATACATGCATCGTTTTTGTTCTGTTATTCACTCTACCGCTGAGAAATGTTATGCATAGTTATGTAAATTGTTTTGGTTGTCGTTGAAACTAATGCGAAGAAACAAGTAAAACAAAGCTGTGTCCAAAACGTATTGTTGAAAATAGTGCAGACGTTAAGTTGATGGCGCCCTCCCGCGTTGAAAAGAAAATCTTTATAAATGTTCTTTGAAGTTGCTAAGGTCTCGTGCTCTAAATAACAAATCTTAGATAAGGGATAAAGTCATTTTCGGTATACGTTTTAGTATAGGAAATACGACAAATGTAACTTGGGTTAGTTTGAAGGAATTAAGTACTATCAATATCCAGAAAGTAATCAACATTTGCATATCAGAAGTACACCTCTAGAACTGTCACTATATATAGGTAGTGAAAACAATTCAGGTTTTAATCAATAAGGAAGCTGGTTTTTTACACGTTCAAGTACTAGTTTTCAAAAAAAAGTTAAAGGAAAATTTCAGATACATTTTTTCTAATCTGGAGTTCCACCGTCTTCAACACACTGGCTTTACGTACTCATTATAAATAAACAAATGTTAATAACATACGCCGTTTTAAAAGATAGAACCTAACATCTTTTATATATCTAGCCACGTATTTAGCTTTCTAGATTCAATTCGGAGAAACAAAACAAGCCTTTTCCTTGGACAAAATAAACGAGTAAAGGTCGTGATAAATTCGGCATTGTGTGTGAAATATTCGGAAAAGTGTGTACAGGCAAAGTCTCACGAAACGGTCCAACTCAAAAAAAGAACGAATTAATACTGGACTGGCGCCAAGTATTTGGTGTATAACTCAGTTTTTCCTCATAAGTAGAAAAGTATAAATCATATAAAAGGCTTAGAAAAATTGCTAACTCCATCCATATAAGTTAGGTAAACAAATCGAAGTAGAACAATCGTTTCGCATGGCGGACACAGTTTCATTATTTTCGCAAAACTTCTGGTGGAATTGAACAAAGTCAACTGAAATCATTTTTTAAAAATCGAGTAATACAGAGGAGTTTACCTTCAACGGTAACCACAAAAATGAATGAGCCAATGACAAGGAATCTGCCAGTCGTAGCTGGTAGCATTTCACATCAAAACTACGTTGACGGTCTGCGTCATGTCATAAATGAAGAGTGAAGTACACGAAGAAGTTGGTGAATATGAATGTGATGCTTAGCTATTCTCTGATTAGCAATTCAAAATTTTTTAATTTTAATTTTTAATTTTAATTTTAATTTTTAAAATATTTAATCCAATTACCTTTATTTTTTATTTAGACTTCTAATTCTAGCACTAGCACAATATCATTATAACTTCTGAAGACAAACACACACACAGAAACCGTGGGAGATCGAGTGGGAAAATGTGTGTCCACAGGGATTAAGGTAATTCCCTTGTTTTGCACTGCGGATGCAACTAAAAACATGGAACTAACAAAGTTTAGGCATTTTTCTTTCGAAAACTAAATAAGAAACATGTTCAAAAACAACTTTAACCTTTTTTTCTCCTTTTTGAGTAAAGAAATTGCGATTTTCACCTGATTCGCCCAGTCTCCACTCGGAAAAGTGTCAGTTTTCGACTATTTTGAAATGCCTTTTCAAGATAAATCAAAAGCGAGAATGGTGACCCCCATTTTTTATTTCAGAATTTTGATAAATGCGATGCTCGTCATTATATGTGAAAATATGAAGAAAAGTTTATTGGATAGATTTTGAAATATTTTGATGGGAATAGTTGACATGTGCAATTTTTGGATGTTCGTAGAGGCGCACGTAACTGCATTTTTTTAAATTAAAGTCGTCCAATGACTTTGATGGATTTAATAGTATAGATTATCTAGCAAACTTCGAGTTGTAAGTACTTTTTGTTATATAAAAGTACTTTTAACTGTGAATAAATGTTCTTGATTACAGCTTCCGGTTGCTACCGCATTTCACTATAAAACTCAAAACTTGACATATTTGGAGAGCATCTGGCGAAAAAACGAAAATGGTGACCAGTAGTTATGTATGTCCATCCTTAGGGTCACGATAATTTATGCATGAATTAGATATTCATATATTCCTGTTACCATAGCAAATCACCGGAAACGGAAACGAATGGGGTGATGGATCACCCAATGGGGAGGCGGGAACGGGTGACGTAACGGGTGACGTAAGTGGGGAGGGACCGCCCGGAAACGAGGAGAACTACACGTGGTGTTAAGTTTAAGGAAGGTTTAATGAACTCAGCAATTATCTTAAGTGTTTACATGGTTTTAAAAAAGTCCTGAAGTGTTGTACGTGGAGTGACGTGGAAGAGGACGAGAAGCACTGCCAAAGTTAGTAGCGAAGGAGGTTGAGGCTTGAGGTTGCTGCCAGGGATCACGGTAGCCAGGGTTGACTAGGTTCCTAGGATCTTCACCT